CGCCGCCATCGAAGCTGCCGTTCTGCACGGCAAACTCTGTGATCTTGGTGAAGGTGTCCACGCTGGGTGTGAACACAAAGACGCCCGAGTTGAAGCAGTCTGGCCAGCTGACATCGGGAGCAGCGGAGAGTTCCTCACGCTCGAACAGCTCATCGCAGTTCTTCAGCACCTGTAGAGAGGAGAGTATTAGAGCTGATTCATATATATTCTTTCGGAATTCACTTACCAGCGTATCTGCATCGAGGAAGACGCACTTCTCGAACTGCACCAGACGCCAGCAGTGGAGCTTTGTGAAGGTGACGCCCAGTTCGGGGCGGGCGAGAAGTGCCAGATTGGCAGCATCCTGTGAGTCAAGGACATTCACCTCTTGTACAACATTGTACACGTCCTTCAGTCTGTCGCGCATCGCCTCCGAGACGGTGGGCGTCACCAGCACAGCCAGCTGGTGGGCGGTGCCGGCACGCTTGAGCGAATGTGCCAGCACCAGGGCGCCCAGCCCATAGTTATCATTTGTCGTCAAGGTAACCCAGGCGAACTCTAATACAGAAGTAGAAGAAGAAGAAGAAGAAGTAGAAGTTAGATCAGTTTGCTTAGATATATCTATAAAGATTAAGAAATAGTCACAGTTAGCAGAGTAAGCCACTCAGATACACAAAGACAAGTTACAACGGCAAAAGCTTGGTATTAGCACAAGTTTCTTTTTTGCTGCTGCTTCGAAATTTCCATTTTCCATTTTCATTTCATCTTTTATTAGTTTGGCATTCAGCAAGCGATTTATGGATTATAAATAAACAAGCGGCAGGAATATATATGAGATCTATATAAATATAGTTTATATAGAATGCGATCTTGTCGAGTAAATGAGTGTGAGAGTCAGTGTGAATGTGAATCTGTATGTGTGTGTGTGTGTGTATGAGTGTGCGCGCTGGCATCTGCGTCAACAACTTGTGGGCGGGGCACGCGGCGATCGCATGCAGCAATTTTGGCAATGTTTTCGATTATTTTGGGTTATATTGAGGCCCATTTCGGCTGTTTTGTTGGATTTGCAAAAAAAAAAAAACAGAAGAGGCAGCTGAAGAAAAATTAGCAACAAAATAAAAAAAAAACTCATTTCTCAGGCATCTGTTTTAGTCGGCAAATTATATTTTGCGTTGTTGGCATTTAGTTGTAGCACTAGATATATAGATATATATATATTTATGTACATATATA